GAGGGGGCGCGGGGGGGGGGGGGGGTTGATTCAGAGGAAAAAGATGAAGAAGATGGAAGACCCCTATGTACAAGACGTCTATGTAGATGACAGGATCCTTCAGTCTTAAATTTTGTGCATGATAAACTAAAATTGCTAGTTAAATACTTCCTTCATGCAGCAGCTTCTAATTCTTCATCAGTGTTTTTATGCTTATGTAAGTAGAACCAAAATACTGTCTCATGTAGAAGGGCAGATCACTCCAGTCCAGTGCTGCAGTCACCTCATCATCTTGACCGAGTAAAAGGTCAAGATTAAGAATCTCTTGCCTGGGGGACTTTTCTTTCTCTATTCTTTTTCTTTTTGGTACGTTTCTGTTTTTCAAAACCATGCAGCAGTAAGCCAGCAGCTGAGGGTGTACAAACAATTCCAGTAAGGACAGGTGCCAGCAAAATGCATTTCTAAACTTAAGAATCAACAGTTCTGGACTTGCTTCCAGAGTCTGATGTACTTGAATTACAATCTGTGTTTCAGTTTGTTTCTAAACAAGCAATTATTGGGCCTTTGCTGGAGGAACTGGTAGTCCAGGCCTCCTCAGTCAGGTATTTCTTTGCAGGTAGCATAAGACTCCTGGTGTACCAAGGAAGCGGGATACAGCTCTGCATCTTTGCTCCCAAGTTCTATCAGGAAAAAGGGATATTCTAAAATATCAGCCAAAAGTTGGAGATTCAGGGATTAATTATGAGGGGAAGGAGAGAGAAAGAGCCATTCCTTTCCTACCTGTAACAAAGACGACCAATTTACAGCAGATTCCTATCTCTATTTTTGCTATTTCCAGAAACAGAATCACGGCTGCCAATCTGAGATGCCTGGCTTTGCCAGCCTCTTCTCTTGTCACAGCTTGCATAGCGAATGCAGATCTCTGCTTCCAAATGTAAACTTCATTTTTCTAGCATAATGGTATAACTGTGTCTTTCTCTTCCCCTGTCTCCTTGGGTAGGTCCGTGTCTTTGTGAATCAGCTGTACCAGCCGGAATCAGTGAAGGACGTGAGGCAGAACCCTGACCTGCAGGCCATCCGCATTGCCTCGGTGAACCCCATTTTAGACCCGTGGGTCTACATCCTCCTCCGCAAGACCGTGCTCAGCAAAGCCATCGAGAAGGTGAAGTGCCTCTTCTGCCGCATCGGAGGGGCTCGGAGGCAGCACTCCGGGGGCAATTTCAACTGCGTGGATGGCCGCAGGACCTCCTCCGCCATGTCAAGTCAGTCGCCCTCCTTCATCTCCCGTGAGCTGCGGGAGATCAGCAGCACCTCGCAAACGCTGCTCTACCCTCCAGAGTTGAGCGAAAGCAGTGTCAGCGGCCGCGTGCTGCTCCCAGGGCCCAGCGCCAGCTTGGCTCAGTCTGACACCACCTCGGTGAGGACACTGCGCAGCTCGGAGACCTCGGACTCCTCACAGGGCCAGGACTCCGAGAGCGTGTTCCTGGTGAACGAAATGGGGTCTGGTGGCCGGGCCAGCTCAGCGGCCAAGGGCGGCCCTCTGCAGGTCACCTTCCCAACAGAGACACTGAATTTGTCGGAAAAGTGTATATAGATGGCCGTGAAAGGCAACAACATTGGGGATACTTCCCGGTACATTGGAAAAACCGGTGCAATAGAGAGGTGTTCTGCCTATTCGAGGGCAGAGGGGATCAGTTGTGCTCCAAAGGGCTTTTTTCTTGCCGTGTGATGGGTATATTTCTTTCAGACTACTGAGGACTGTGTGGAACAGACGCTGCACTTGGACTCTGCCATGAAAAATGGTACAAGGCAGGTCTAACAGGACTGGAAACATGAACTGCCTTCTGGGACACAGGAAGAGCTACTGCACCCCTGGAAATAGGAAGACCCATCACTTTGTTTTGATTTTCTTTCTTTCTTTGTTTCTTTCTTTCTTTCTTCTTTCCCTTTCCAAGTATGTTAGAACTGTGTTTTCTCTCCCCATGGTTGCTCAGCTATCAAGAGTTTAAGCTTCTGGTACTAGAGCTGGATGTGAGGCAGCTGCTAGGAACTGGACACAGCTACTCTGAGAGCTGCCTGGGGCAGGATTTTAAAGTGTCTCACTAAAGCATGAAAATGTGAATTTTTACCATTGTACATATATCAGGACGGAAAATATTTAAAAGTCTATTCTTCTCTGTGAGAAGGTTTCTTATTAATACAAGGTATATAGAAACAATTGCCAGCCTTCTCTTCCCCCAGTATCTCCTGCTGATAAGACAGTCTTGGTTTAGGTTTGTTGTCTATGCTAGATTCGCAGCTGATGAGGTAATTCTTTAGCTGAGAATACATAAGCACTTTCTGAGTGAAATGGGAATATACGCTCGATTAAGGGAGAAAAAGAAAACACATCTTTTCAGTTAAGAATATTCCTATTCAGTATATGTACATACTAAAAAGCCAGATTTTATTTATGTGCTGAGAATGTTTTCCTGTATAACACATCCGTGCCTCTCCAAGTACTTTGGCCCACAGTCTGCACACATTTAGGCACACACTTCACATCACCCATCAGAGTCATCCCCTTGCTATCAGGGAGACTCCTTTCATATAAAGTTAAGGGTGTACAGAAGTGCTTTCAGCATCAGGGCCTGAAACTTTAAACCCTGGTTAATAGTCTTAATACTCACTTTAGTTAAAGCATCACTGATGTAGTAAAGGTATTTTTTCATAACATTTATCATTTTACTTTAAATAGTAAATAGAATTTTATGACTGTGTAATCTGATACTCCATCAAATAAATGTACAAAACCATGGAAGCAGAATCTTCATTTTAAAGTATAGGTTATATAAAGCCATAACTTCATCTTGAAAAATCATTTGTTCTTACAGTTTTAATGGCAAATACATCACCAAAACCAGCTGTTAACCACTGAAAAAAGAGTTTTGTGTTTTATGTTGTAAGGGTTAGATCTTGTTCCAGAAACACTGTTTATCAAAGTAATTCTGTATAGATATTTGGAGGATGTTTTGTCAAATACTAAGCATGTTATGCTGCTTAAAGTGTTTTCATGTGAATGCTATATTGTAGTGACAATCTTGAGCCTTATGTTGATATGTTTAAGCAATTGTACTGACCGAAGTAATTTTGGAGATCACAATTAAATGGAAATGTTCTGCTTGATCTCAGCTGTTTGTACGAGTCTGCCTGTTCAGTGCCAGCTCCTTGCCATAACAAGCCTCTCATCTTGGAATGCTTTGACCTCTAAGTTTCCAAAACACCACAGCATGATCAATACCAGCAGAAGGCACCATCTTCAGAAATGCCCCCAAGAGCACCAATGTGGAGCCATGAAAATTGTTTACGTAAACAAACAAACATCAAAGACATTTTCCTTTGACAGGGAATAAAGAGCTCGTTGAGCTTATTTGCCTTGATCCATATAGAAAGTGAAGTTAAACCTCTACACAAATACTTGCAGCAGAAGCCACTTTTCCACCAGTTAAGCTGCAGAACAGTATTACTCAAGTTCCTGCTGCAGCTACAGATAAAGATCTGCCCGAATCCTTTGCAATTAAATCACTTACCTATGGTCTGTTGCTTACTAGCGACCAACAAATAGAATACACTCATCGTCTTCCCCAGACAGGAAATAATACCAGGCAGAGTGGGAAGGTGGGACTGCCGCCCGTACCACTACCGGACCACACCTTTGCAGCCAGCCCAAAGCAGCACAGCAATGTTACTGCTACTGTATGCAATGACAGAATTAAATAGCAACAGTGTATAATAGGTATTTAAATAAGCAAGGGCTTATTATTTTTAATTGGTTTATTGATGCTCTTTTATTGTTATTTCTCATCATTATTGACGAGAAATACATGTGGTCTGGAAGAGCTTTAAGCAAGAATGGACCATGTTAAGTAGCTGACCTTCTTGCTTCTCTTAGCACACACATAAAATAAGCCTGAGGTGTTCCTCCTGCCCACAGCATTGTTGGTGTGTCAGTAGTGGACTGGCTCACAGCACACACACATCATTAACACAGACTCCTTCAGTGATGAACTCAAGGATTCCCAACCATCTTACAAAGTGTCCTGGGCAGTACTGGAATTGCCTGCAATAGCGCAATGGCAGTGCACAACAGCAAAATGCAAACAGAGATGGGTGTTCAGGAGTAGCATGGCTAAAAGGGCTTTTCAGGGTGACAGGCTACTGTGTCT